TCGCCAGTGGGTTTCGAACCCCCTACCTGGCCGACATATTGCTTGGGGGTGCGACAACTTAACCACTTCACTAAGTCACCACACCCTATCATGAGATATTAATATATTGTACATATATATATATATTATATATAAATAAAAATTGTTTTTTTTATAGATTTTTATAGTTTTTATTAAGATAATCAAGTTTTGTCTTCTAAGATTTTTTAGCTTTAAATTAATTTAAAAATATTTATATATATTTTAAAAGAAAATTTCTTAGTTTATATATAGTGTATATATATGTATAATACAAATATAGATCTGATAAATAAGTATAAATTTTATTTTTTTTATGCAGTATTTTTGTTTTATTTTATTTTAACATCTTTTTTTAGATAATGACATCATTTGGATTTAGTGGTCATTTTTGTTGTGTCTTGTTTATCATTGATACTATCACTATCAGGAAAGAATCATATTTGTTATTAAATTGTCAAAGTTATTAGAGCTATCACTTTCAGTATCATTATTCTTAGTATTGTTACCTTTATTGTTGTTATTTGAGGGTCTTGTTAACATTTTGTTGCCTTTAGTATTCGCTGTTATCATTGCTAGTATAAATACATTTTGTTACTTTGGTGTTTGTTACATGAAATTATTGCTATACTGTCTCTTTTATTAGAGTGATTTTGCTATTATTTTGTTAGGATCAGGTAGTTAGGGTTATTGGTTAGGGTTAGTTGTTAGGTTTAAGAATGGTTATTAAGGTTGAAATAATTATATCTCTTTTTTAGAGTTATTAGAGCATTTCTGAGCTTAAAAATCTTAGAAAAGTATATTTTCATTGTTTGCTGTTGTTTCTTATTGAATTTGTCTAACACTTTTTTTTTAGATATTAATCAAAGATGTTCAAAGAACTTGTTGCTCTAGTTATAAGCATATTCAGAAAGTATAATTTTGTTGTTCTAGTTATAATGAACTATAGATGCACTTTACTAATGTTTTTTTTTTTTTTTTTGTAGGTAACAATAGATTAAAAATGTTAGTTAAGTTGTAACTCCAATTATTAGACATATTTCAGAAAATATGATTTGTTGTTTTGGTTGTTCTAATTTGTGGATGCAATTTACTAATGACTTCTTTCTTTTCTTGGTAACAATAGATCAATAGCATTTAGTAACTTTTCTGGGTGAATTTCAGAAAGTATAATTTGTTGTTTTGGTTGTTCTGATCTGTTCTGATCTGTTATGTGCTTTACTAATAATTTTTTTTTTTCTTTATAGGTAACAATAGATCGAAGGTATTTAGCGAACTTGTCTAGATGTATTTCAGAAAATATGATTTTTGTTCTAGTGTTCTGATTTGTGATGTACTTTACTAACACTTTTTTGTTTTTCTTTGTAGGTAACAATAGATTGAAGGCATTTAATGAACTTGTCTGGGCGTATTTTGGAAAATATAATTTGTTGTTCTGATTGTTTTGATCTGTGATATGCTTTATTAATGATTTTTTTTTTTTTGTAGATAACAAAACTTGTCATTCAAATAGTTGGGCATATTTCAGGAAGTATAATTTGTTTTGGTTGTTCTAAACAGTGAATACACTTTACTAACTCTTCTTTTTTTTTGTAGATAACAATGAATTAGTTCAATCGATTATATAGTCTTTTTGTTTTCACTATGTTTGGTATCGCCACTTCATTGTTAGCATTATTTATATTTTGCCATTTTTGTGTGAGGTTGATATTTTTAAGCTTGTTGTTATACGATAGTGTAAGGTCAATATTAGAGTAGTTGAAATCGAGTTAGTTAATATTGATAGTATAGTATTAGATTAGTATTCTAGAATAGTTGTTACACATTAGTATATAATAATAATTAAATAATTCTTGCTGCATAATGATGATATAATAATGATCAGTCATTGTATAATGATAATATAATAATGGTTATTGTGTGATAAGTTATAAACTTTATCATTATGATTCGGTATTACAGAATCACATGAATCGTAGTTTATTTGATTTTATAAAATTTGATTTGACAATATGTAATCACGTAACATATATATATACATATAGTATACAAATAGAAATACTTATTTTAAAATAATATATTGCAATATAAAATATATTGTTACAGTACCGTGGCCTTCTTAACAGCAGTACTATAACAATGACACAGCTACAGGGATCCTTTACAG